GAATATCGTAAATAACAGTTCACAAATGCATATATAGAAATATTTTTTGAAGGGGGGAAATGGTCTTCACACTTTGAAATCGATCGAACACACTGTGCTCGAATGCTCGTGTAAACGCGCGCCATCTATTGTAGGATAAATGTACTATGCCACAAACCTTCGCGGGAGTATATTAAACAACTTCCCAAAGTTTCACGGCAATCGGATAAACGGTGTGGTAATGCATGAAGGACATAAGACAGACACACAGACACACAGACAGACATACATTCATTTTTATATATATAGATTAGCTTTACTTAAACATTATTTAAACATTACGCAATACTTTTGTTTGTGAATCAACTTGGACTATCAGCGATGTTTAAAAATGAGCTACAATTTGTATATACTTAATGGCACTGATATTTGTAAAATTTGAATACAATAAAAAAAACTTTCTATCTAAAGACACTGTTTATATCTTTCCCAAGGATTTCTTATGTTTGTTTGTTTGTATATTTTGTAAAATTACGGCAATGAAACACTTGGCTAGGTGGATTCCTTCCGGAAACTTTTTTAAGGGTAAGTGGCTTCTAGTCAGGCGTTACAAACGTACAGACGTCAGCCTTTTATTTTAGGTTTTGACGCCTTAACATTAAAAAAATAAAGTAAATCTTCTCACCCTAATACCAAGCTTTATACAATTTGTATCAGGTTCAAGCCCTCTAGTGAAGTTAGATTAGAAGTTCACACTATTTTTGTAAATAGTCTGAACTTCTAATTTATAATTATGATTGCAAAAATATCCTGAGTTCATCATAAAAATTTGTAACTTTTAAAGGGGTGGCGTATTCAAGAAGGTTGAAACACTGTTCTAAATAAGCAAAAAAATATTAATTGCTGCAGTTAGTTTTAATTGTTTTATTGCTAAAAAAAAGTTAGTTTTCTGTTGAAATTAAGAGTTAATATTTCATTTTTAACCACGGTATAGAACTATATGAAGATCAGAGAATTCAGTATATCGGTTTTGTTTCCTACGCTATATTGTGTTTTGTATATACCTGTATACATACAAATAACGTTAATGATAAACGGTGTTAGAGTAAAAAAGCTCGTGTTTATTTTGTAACTTGATTAATTTTTGGTTTATTGAAGTTGTAAATCCTGTCGAGCACTTTTATATGGATTGCATGTACTGTATATTTATACGAATTTTTTACACACAGTTTGTTTGGAACGTATCTACAATGCAAAAAGAAGAAGAGATGTACTTTCTCGGCAGTAAAGACAACTAAAAGGCGACAGATTGAACAGAGACAGCAGGCAAGATTTCGAATTTCCATACTCGATGCCGATACATCGATAATTATGTGGTGTCTGGACATTACTAGATATATGCCCATGTAACGAAAGAAAAGAAATTGAAAATATCACACGAAAATTATTCAACGGACAAATAATTAAATCGGTGTATTAAACTTTAATACCGTAAAAAGGTTTGTAAATAAATGTGAATCATACCAATCAACTGCATATTGTGAAAAACTATATTCATGTCATAGCACGTCAATGTGATTGTAATAGAAAATACAGTACTTCACTAAGACTGTTACGAAATCAGAACGTTTACAATTAAAAGATTCCCTATTCGTAGACCTAGTGCATGCTACTATAGAAAATTATAACATATTTTTAACTTGTTTATTTTAAACTAGGATATTATTTAAATATACTTTCATTTACTCGATAAAAAAATTGTTTTTCTACGGTCGAATGAATTATTCGCTTGTGTTCGTTTAATTTCTTTTGTCGTGTAAATCTTCGAAAACAATCATCACACTAAAACGGTTTTTCTTCCGTATGACTTCTCTAGTGACGTTTTAAAACAGAAAAAGTATGACAAAATTTCAGGCAAAACTTGCATCGATATTTTTCCAAATCCAGATATCTGGGCGACAGCTAAGCCAAAATTATATTATAACAACTACTATTTTTATATAAAATATTAAAGGATTAAATAATATAGAAAAACGTTACTTATATACCTTTAAGTATACATAGATTAGTACAAGAATTAGAATAAAAAAAAAATAGAATTTTTTAATTTTTACTTCTAAATTAAAGAAAATGCAATAAAAATGTCTGACAAAACACGAATAATATGAACAATTAAAAATATAAATTATAATACGAAAATGACATAAAATTACTATCAAGAATTTTCAGTTAAACGGTTCTTTGTTTGTACGAATGTAGATTGAATTTCCTTCAAAAATTTCCTAATAAATACTTACTTTTTCAATGATATTCGATTCTTTCGTATGTTTCAGCAGAAAAAAAATGACTGTCTAAATTGCTTTTCCATACAGTTGAAAAATTACAAAAGCTACATTTATAAAGTTCTTTTTTTGGGTGTAAATTTTTGTGTCTTGTAAAAATTGCTCCATCTCCTGTACAATAATCACATTCTTCGCATTTAAATTTTTTTTCGTTTCAATGTATTGACTTGTGTCTTTTCAAATTGGACATCCGAATAAACTGTTTCCGACACACATCACAAGCAACTTTTCGCACTTCGGATACTATTTCAGATGTCCGAGAAATTGCACTTCGTTTGTAAACTCATTTTTACACATTTTTCATTTCATTTTGCCGTTTTTGTCATTCGAAGCGATTTCCTTATAAACAACTACTTCAAAATAATTACATGTATTATCTATATATATATATGTTAGAATATCCAGATCTATAAACTTTGTTTAGGTTTAATAATTATTGTAAAATTTTGTATTTTCCGTCATTGAAAGACACGTAATTCAAGAATACGAAAAGTCTTTTCTAGTACAAATAATTAAAGTAATGACACTTACCATTCGCTCGAGTTGTGACAATTTCTGGTTTGAAAAATACATCAATTTTTTTCATTATTGTTAAAATGTAATTATTAACATTGCATTGTTTAATGTAATAATGTTTATTGTGTTAACGTAAGACACTACAAAATAAATATTTTTGAAGTAATCGAATCGAAAGAAAAGAAATTATAAATATTTGTTAAAAAACTTTGACAAAACCAGCTTCAACCAAGTATGAAGTTGGGAATGCGAGTAAGAAAGGTTCGGCTTCTGCTCTGAGTTTGGGATATTTAGTTGTAATATTGTTATTGCTCCAAAATTCGCCGAAGTTTTTATTTTTAAATAACGCTTTAGCTTCGAGATCTACACATATTTCACTCAGTTCATCTTCTAAGCCAGTTTCACTACCTTTATTATGTATTTTTACATCAAATGGATTAGCAAACCATTTGGGAACATGCATTACATCTAATTCTTCGAAGTGTGCATTAAAGTCTTCTCTTAATTTATCAAGATGTTCAATATATACCTTCAAATGACGGTCGGAAATCTTTTCATCTCTTTTAGTACTCGCTAGTTTGAAAAATATTTAAAATCGGATAGTACCAGTGAAGGTTTAAATAGCTCCATTTTTACTTGAAAGGCCATTTTTCCTTGCAAATTCAGCTGTTCTATAAGAATAATTTTCGATATATTACGACATTTTCTGTGTAAAGGACAGAATATATACATTTATATGTAAAATACTTAGAGTGACAACCCTACTAGAGTGTAACAGTGCAACGTGTGTCTGTGTATAATAAACTACCAACGTTCGTAACATGTTTGCAAGACTAGCCCAGTTGCCAGATGCGTGAAAACAGAGTAACACATGCTTAAAGGGACGTAGGCTAAGGCAAAACTCAAGTTATAACTAGGGTAATCAGTAACTATGTTGATCATATCCGTATTTCGAATTTTTATTGGAATATTCTATTTTTTTCACAATTCTTTGACTAGTCTCTTTTTATAAGTTTTTGGAGAAATATGTTTGTCTTTCAGTTGTATTTGTAAATTTTCAACTCTCATGCAGCTATTTTGTAACACCCGTAAGGACAAAAGCATCACCTTACAGATTTGGACATTCCTTAGAATTCAATGTCTCAGTAGGCTATATGTGAAAGAAAATACACGGCAGGATTGCCTTCCTTTTACATAACTGCAAAAATACGATTAACAAAAATATTTTAGTAAGAAAATCAGTGCAGAGAAATTACGAACACGTGTAGTAATAGTCACCATCGCTTCTTATCCTCGAGTTTTATGGATTTTATGATGCAGATTTGCTACTTACGATCAGTCTCCCATATCACAGAAGTTGTGAAGTATTTCCTCAGCATTTTCCTCTGTAAATGAGCAGCGTTTTCGTGGGCAATTTCATAGCTTTCCGTTAGCCCTTGCAGGATAAGTCTTTTTAGTGAATGATAAATGTATGTCGTTGCACTATTTCCTCTTTTTTGGCTTTCACACTTTTCCAATTTTCTGAGTTTAGTGTTTTTTTTTCTTTGATAGATTTCACTTCGGGGCGCTATTTCAGGATTTCTGGCTTCATTCACAAAATACTGCGATGTGGATCGTAAAAGTTTCATCAAGAAGGTGCTAAGCCACAAGTCAATTTAGCGTCATAATTTATAAAGACGTAACATTTCTCTTATTCAATACAAAATTACAAATTTACGTGTGGATAAAATTACGCAAGTTTCAACAATTAACTTCAGATGCAACGAAATTGAAAATGAGATATTATTGGATAACACCGAAGCAGAAAGAAATTTACAGACAGACAAAGAATACGCTAATCAACAAGATGACCAGGTAATATTAAAACTGCCGTTTTAATATTACCTGGTCACTACGTTCACTCACATTACTTCAGGCGGTCATCTCGGCTGAGTATTAGCACAATCTATGTGAAAACTTACGCAAAACATATTTTGTAACTGTAAAAAGAACATCGTACGTTTCAACCGAAAACGGAGAGAAATTCAGAAAATCGTAATGCCCGAACAAACCTTTAATTATCCACACAACCTTTCAATTGCGATACAGAAAAATTAATTTTTTTAATAGAAAAGAAAATTAAAAATTATCCAAAACTGACATTACGCCGAAGGAATTTGTTTTGTTGTTTTCTGTCGAGATGCATCCACTTTTCTTCTCGTTGCCGAGCTTCAGTAACGTTGACAAAATAGAATAAAATCCACTTAACATCTGTAAAATAAAAAGGTCTTTTATTTTAGCCAATGTTTATAATTACAATAACACAGAATGTGAAACTGACATGCTAGAACTGAAATTTATAATTTAAATATTGTGTTTAAATAAATTTTTATGCTTGAAAAAATCTTAATGGGTGTCTAACGCATGGCACACATGGTCAGTAAGATACTAAATTCGGATCTAAGGAAATACACCAGAAAGAGGTACTCACTCTCATGACAAAGTTTTTCTTGATGAAGAAGAATCCTCCGACAGAAAGGCCGATCGGGGTCTTTCCGAATCTCTTCATGAAATCTAGAAACTAATCAGATAAGTTTATTAATCAAATTGTTTACGGTCAAAACACGAATTTAATAATTAATCGAGATTTCGAGCTATGTCAACCTTGAGTTTGCTTTCAATTTTCATGTGGACGGAAGAAAATCTTCTGATTTCTATGAAGCTATTGTACAACTAAAAAGAAAGTAAATGAAAATTATTTTGATTAATATTCTATTATTTCTTTAATTATTTTTAAACTCTGCGATGTAAAGTATATTATAGGAGCGATTGAAAACGGTATTCATCGAGATACAACACGAAAATAAAAAACTACAGAAACGAGTTCCTTAACTTTTCCGGCAAAATTTAAAACTGTTCGTGTGGCACCATTCGTAATAATATACCGGTAAATGCTGTTTTAATAGAGAAAGTAGCCATAAAAGGTACGATTTTTTATTTAAACTTATATGTTAGTTATGTTATGGTTTGCAATTACATAAATATTTTACACATTCCAAGCAATAAAATAAGTAATAGAATAAATTGCTTAAATCAAATTGTAAGTTAGCTCTTTTCGCTCTATGACACTAAAGGTTAGTTCACACATTCGGAAAAGAGCAAAATTTGCCGAAAACCACGTCGTATCTGACGTGGTTTTCGGCAAATTTTGTCGAAAACCAACGTCGTATCTGACGTGTCGTTCATTCCCTCTGTTTTATGATTTTGCCAGCGAATTGCGCTCAGTGTAAACTAAGCTTAAGTGGGGCTCTTCTTTACGAAGCCCGTTATGAATTCGGCAAGGTCTTTAACGGGGCAGGAAGCTTTGCTTTACTTTGGCTCGACTGTATACTCTAACCACTAAGGAAGGCTTCACTAGTCTCGACACAGTGGGAACATTAAATTAAATAGTAAAAAAGCTTATAATTGGATAACTAGACGAAGAATAGAGTGATAAAAAGAAATATTAGTGTTTCGCGTTTGTTTTAATTCATTATTCTGTTTTTTACTATACAATATTATAATAATGAAATTTTTGCTCCTTATTACTGTTTTCGTATCGCAAGAACGTTTCCCTCATTCTACTACTAAAGAACAAAATAATAAATCGTAAAAGAAATGCGTCATAGCCGTTTATTTCGAATGATGATTTAATAATTTAAAAATGAAAGTTATCGACACGAGGAATGTATTTATTTTCTATTTTTATTACGTAAATGAAGATAGCGCTTACCTCAGATGTTAAACGGGACAAAGCAAAACAAACAACAAAAGTTACTAAAAATAAGGCCAAACATATAGTTGAAATGAGGATTCTCAGAGACAAGTTTATGTCGATGAATGCCACCACGTAAATGAAAAAGCAATTGACGTAGAGAGCCACGGCGTAGATCAGAGGAAAGACGTATTCGCACACCTCGTTCACCTGTACCAAACAGTCCAAAATTTCCGTGTGCTTTTCTACGCAACTGTTTAAGAAGATCTCCAAACGACTGTGTTCGGCGTGGAAACTCTTCATCGCCGTTGACAGAGTTTTTAATCTTTCGAATATTATAAATCCGATGATGATACCTTGCAAGACGAAAAGAAAAATAACAGCGAAGCAATATATGAAACTAACATTCATTAAAATGACGCAAAATGCCGCTTCCTCGGGAGATTTCTTTTTTCTCGTGATTGGAAAACCGAATATATCAAATATTATACATTCAATAATCATGAGAATAAAGTAGAGAATAAGTGAAATTAATGAAAATTTTTCGAAGTATTTGTTTAAGGAGATTTCTTCTTCGTAAGCGCTTTTCTTGTATTCGAAGTACAGTTTTCTTCTTTTAAATATGCCGAAAAGAACGGCACAAGACAGATAAATAATAGAATATATCAATCTGATAAAACTATTGCCGGTTCCGTAAACGTATACCCATTCACTGCAGGTTACGCTTTCGAAAAAGGTTTCCAAAAACTGTCGAATTGTCATAGTCCACAAAAAAAGTTGTACCATATTTTCGTAACACCCGTAAGTTTTCTCCGGGAAGAAACGAAATTTCGGTTTTCTTTCGTTCTTCTGGCAGTTGCAGTCCATGATTATATTCGTGGCGAAGACTTTGGCCGCTCGAAGAACAAAGTCGATCTGACAAACCGGACACCCGGCATTTACATCCGAATCCATTATCGACTGTAATTTAACGAAAATTTCACTGTAATAAGTAAATAATTGTTATTAAAGTTTTCAAAGTATCGAAATATTACTTTTCCGAATGTTATATATAACAAAGGGAAAGTATGGCGATCGGTAAAGAAGTGACCCCCTCAGATTTTCACTTTGCTGGCTTTTTTAAATTTTAATGAGCGTAAGTCAAGAATAAACTAACATTGACATTTAAACACTGTCGCATTCTGCAAATGCATTATTTATTCCGATCTCTTCAATACACCAACGACGACTTTCTTGTATGATTGATCTACAGAATATTTCCACGTGCTCTTGTTCAATCGATCAATATCGATTGCTCGGAAGTAGAAGTTCAATTAAGTATGGAATTTGATTGCATCGAATAATAAATCCAAAATATTTTAAGTGGTGGTAAATTACCAGATTTAATATATCGATGGAGATAATTAAAATTTTACGTCGTTTTATCTGTCTTACAATGCTCTCGGCTAATGTGTACTTTGCCAAAAGTTAATGCACAACGTAAATATTTTAATTGAATTAAAAGCTTTTTTTCGTAAGTATAGTTTGAATTTTTATAACTCTTAAAACCTTATAACATTAATATCGGTTTTACATCAATTTATATTTGTTATTTATGTTAAATTTGTTTTCTGTCATTTCCTATGTGTGTAGCAATGATTTGTGTTATATAAACTTTTGTATTTGTATTGTGTAGCAACGCTTTCTATCATATAATCATTGTATTATTTTTTATAATAAATAAACGGCCATGATGTAGCGTATTTTGTCAACCCCGCCACTTTTTGCTTCGGTATGACTTGAAACGGATCAAAGTAGTCGTGTATGATTTTTTAATCTTACTTGCAAGGTATCCTACTCACTATCTGTGAACACATAACTTGTGTGAATACGGGGGCGTAATGCTCCCGTTCACTTGTCAGGACGTCTAATTGACTCTCAATTGTCAGGCGAATGGATGGAGAGTTTTTGGGGTCGACGATTAGGTGAAGGGCGTGATCGAGTAAAACAGTCTACCATATTTATAACAAATAAAACGTCAATTTATTAAAACAAGCGAATTAAGGAAAGACTACACAATTTCACAAATAGCGTTCCTAAATCCGCCTAATATTGCTCGAGAGAGAGTTTCCCGCTGTTCATACCTCTTTATGGAGTTCCTTGATAGGTTTAATCCGAGGCGTTTATCCACAGGAGCGCAAATTTTAAAAGTTCGCGATTCTTTTGAAGATTTCATTCGAGGTTTATCGGAAATCGGAATTCGGCGGATTCGGAAAATCGGCGCGATGTCGTTAGTCCGGCGTTCGGTAATAGCGACTCCCCAGAGAGGGGGTAAGAAAGGTCTTTTATAGGTTTTTGTGGGAAATTTCCACAGTTAGGGGTTATAGGTGTTCCTGGGATCTACAACAAATGACGACATTTAGATGCTAACTGTAAATCTTCATGCAAGATGAGATGCCCGTTCTGCAAAGAACAATGGATGTTGCTAGCTATCACCGGAAAGTTTACACAATCCCGGCTAAGATCGTTTTTTCTTCTAGGGCGTTACATAAACGAAAGTTTAATTAATTAACATTTTTGTTAATAAAAGATCGGGATTTTCGTCACAAAAATTCCGGATCTCACACTTGCAACAGTGATATATTCAACAATTTAAAAAGAAATTTAAAAAAGTGTTTCTCTTATCGAAAACCTTTGTTGTATGCTTTATTTCGACAAATATCTGTTGTCTAATCCACCGTTGAACGTACTTGCTTGTATATGTTATGCGCCTTTGTGAATAACGAGAGAAACGGTGCCGCAGTCCGATAAATATTCATTCGTTTATTAAAAATATTAAAGTCCGGAAGAACTGGAAATACTGCTATTTGTATTTACATTGATTTTTCTCTTGAAACTTCGCAGCTGGAGAAAACTTTTCTATATCATCCGTGTCTGCGTTGGAAATAAGTACTTCATCTGTTTGTGCCTTGGCGTCATCGCTACCAATAATTACACTCGTGACAGACATTATAACATTACGTGACAAAATACTCAAAAGTAAGGACGTATTTCTGTATCGCGGTTTTCCGTGCGATTGTTCTCGTTTTCGTCATGTATATTTGGAGAATGAAATCTTCATTCAGGTTCATCTGCCAAGAAAGTTTCCCTAGAAACCAACGTTAGGTCGTAATTCTTCCGATTCGAAAAATACGAAGCTTTTCAAATTAATAGGGTTTTCCTGTTTAAATAAATCAAAATAATTACAATGAGTGCCAAAATACTTCATAACGAAGTGATTAGCACATTTAATTAATGAGAAATGTGTTTTCTTTTGGATATTTTAGAGTTAAAAACGTACAAATAGCTAAAATTACGTGTTGTCTTATACCAATAAATTATGATAATTGTAAAATTTATTGTGATATGATATTTTTAAAGTACTGTAGTAATTTTAATAAATTCTGTTTAATTGCGTGTTTATATTTGTTTTACAAAAGAAAAAAAGACAATGAAAATGTAGATTCAATTTGTGAAATTTTCTTATAGTTTATTACTTAAAACTCCACAGTAGGCACACTAGTTATCTAATGACAGTCATATGGTGACTAAACGGCCTGAATCTGTAATCTGGAGTTACAATAGTGTGAACACGAATACGATTGTTCAGAATAACACGTGGTAAAAATCTTTTGAGCGAGACTATTCACTAAACACATAACACTTCTAACACTCTTGGATTTCTACTCAATGATCACACCGCACGTATATGGGTTTGGAACTTCTTTCTAGATAAGAAATAAGACAGATACTCACGTGACTAATAGACACGCACCCTTAGTAGATGTATTCTAAAACTACATTTATCACGCAACTTGTTTCGACAATTATGTAATTATACAATGTATTTTTATGGAAGCTGCTACAGATGTTCGTATACGTTCTTAGTTTACCGAGTTGTTGCAAAGTTTGAATTCCGTTCTTCCGTACGAACACACTATAAAATCAACGTAGGCAATAGAACATTTAGTTTCTTCTGTCGATATGTTTACTTTGTGGCACAGATACTGCATTAACTTCTGTTTATCTGATACCAAATCGGCTATGTCTTCATCTTCAATTATTTCGCTTGGAAAAACATAAGTTAGAAGTTTGATCTAAAAAATTACTTTCTATTATAAAAATTTACAATAATATTTTGTATTAAGATTTCAAAAAGCAAAAATGGTCAATCTAATTCTTATTTTAGCAATGAAAAGTCTCGCTACCGAGAATGCCCTTTTCGATTCAATTGTTGCGAGTGGAATCGCGTTTAATGCATTTAACAGAAGACAAATATTATGTGTTTTTCACCCGTAGCCAGGAAGATTTCTGGTTCGTTTCCTAGATGTATTGCAGTACAGTAGATCCCCCTATAAGACGGTAGATACGTTCCGTTCTTTATGAATCAATTTTGTAGGAATCATAGTTTACGGACTACGGCTGTTTGAAAGGTTTTCTTTCATAAAATTAATCGATTCTAGACTAATTCGACTCAA